CTCCCAACGTTTGTGTGATGCTTCCAAGAATTGGTTCGCACCAGAGATTGAAAGGGAGCCCTAAGAGTTTAATTAGAACACTTCCCTCACCGAGCTCAATCTTGTTGCAAAGTGGAGTCCATTTCTGAATCTGAACCAAACCACCATCCACGGAGACTGTGTTGAAGCTTAACTTCACCTCTCCAACATCCAGAAAAGCTTTCCTCTCTGCAAAGGGCAACACGGTTGCATCCACTTCCACATCCACCTTCCAAGCAACTGCATCCAAAATTTTGGTCCAATCCTTTACATCCTTCGCGGCTGTCAGAATCATTCTCTTACTCCAATCGCTACACCCAGCATCAACCATCAATCTGGAAAGTTTTGTCGAACAAGCATACACATTTCCAGGCCGAGGCAAGCTCTGCTCCTTAGTGTTCTCAACTGCTTCATTCTCGCTGAACTCCTTCTGGGTCTCTTGGCTCTTTTTTTCTTTGCTTTGCTGATTATCCCCCCTTCTTCGTTCTCCCTCCTCTCAACAGTAGTAAGGAAGAGCTGAAGCTTCTCGGCAAAGGCCATCCATCCCTTCCCCTTCTTCCCTCCCGACACGCACACCATTTGCCTTTGGCTGTTACCAAAGAGTTCTGTAATAGTGATATACCAACCTTTCCCGTTTCTTCTCAGTTCCACTATAAAGTTCTTCCCAAAGTGGGCAATAGAGTTCTTCCTCCTTCCTCCCTAACAGAGTTCAGAACAGCATCAACAAATCCTTTCACCCATAAAGTTACCTCCTCCGGCAAGAGCACTATCACCCTACTCCCTTCCTTGATTTTTAGAACTGTCTTCCCTCCAGACCAACCCTGCTCGAACCTGAAACACTTGGCTTCTACATCCAAAATACAACTGAGACCTCCATCTTCCTACTGTTCTGAACTCTCCGTTACCAACCTCCATCTTCCTTCTAGTTAGCCAATTTGTTTTTTCTCTACACCAGCCCCACTTTTCAGCAGTTCTCCGAATCATTTGTTATGTCAAGGGAATAATGTCGCATGGTTTGTTTTTCTCATCTTCTTCTTCTACTCAGCTCCGAGCTTATGCCGATGTTGATTGGGCGGGCTGCCCTAACACTCGTCATTCTACTACTGGCTGGTGTATCTTCCCCTTGGGGATTCTTTGATATCTTGGAAATGCAAGAAACAACATACAGTTTCCAAGTCATCTACTGAAGTGGAGTATAGAGCAATGTCTTCTGTATGTAGTGAAATAGTTTGGCTCAAGGCTCTACTTCGTGATATGGACATCGATCATTCACCTGCCATCCCTCTATTTGTTGATAACATGAGTGGTATCAAGATTGCATCCAACCCGGTTTTTCATAAGCACACTAAACACACTGAGGTGGGTTATCACTTCATTTGTGACCTCCTTGCGGGTCACATCTCGCTCCCACATGTCTCCTTGGGCTTACAGCTTGCAGATCTCTTCACCAAAGCTTTGACTAAAACCCAACATAATTTTCTTATGGACAAACTGATGCTTGTTCCCAGCATCAGTTTGAGGGGGAGTGTAGAGAAGATGGAGGGTAGCTTTGTACTTTTACTCTCTTTGTTGTATTTTATTAGGCGTGTATATTAGTGTACTGCCTTGTCTCTTTATTTCTTTTGAAAGGACAATCTTGTCCGTTCACCTTTTAATATAAATTCATATTTCCTAGGTTGGTTCAATCAGATTGATCAACCCTAACAGATCTGAAGTTTCTTTGTTCTCTCTTGCTGGCTTCTCTTTCTCACAGAATAACAATAACTGGCCCCACCCTTCGAACCATTTTTAAATGATTAAAAGCTTCTAGGTCCTCTATTATAATCCAATTTCCGGCCCAAAAAGCCCCATCAAACCTTTTTTTTTTAAGGTTAGAAAGAAAAAAGTACAGCAGAAGGTGATAAAACATCAGCATACGCAAGAAAGCCATGCCCAAAAAACCAATTCAATCACAACTTACAACCACAATGAAAGCCCATTCACTCAACATAAAAGGAAAACATAGACCCATAACAAAACCAAAGAAAAGGGCCTCTAGCCTGTCCCTAACCAGACACAAAGGACCCTATCCTCAAGCCTACATCAATCTTCATCAGTGAATTCATCTTCTTGGCTTGAGAAATCCTTGTCCCATTCTCTTCTCCATTGCGACTGAGCTTTGTTTTTATCTTTCTCTTCCTTTTTTCTTCTTTCAAATTCCTCAAATGCTTTCCTAGCAAAACCTTCACCGCCCAAGAAGAATAGTCACAAGATTTTCCTGATCATAACTTCTCTGTTGACTAGATTCTGTAGCTTCACTCCTTTTGAGTTTTCAACAACTACACCAGAATTCTTCATTGTGTTGGTCACAGTAGAATCAGAGCCATCGCTACTCCTCTTGACTTCCTGATGTTTCTCCAACATAAAGGTATCTGGTGCCTGAACAGGCGCAGTCACCCCCCTATGGTCAGTGTCAGAAGTTCCTTTGCCTCTCCACCTTTTCTTCTATATACCCATTTAAATTTTTTTGTAGATCCTGTCCCTGTCAGGCCAATTTTCAGCCTTGAAAAGATCTTTGTCACATGAACAATGTTGTGAGATCTCAAATTGCACAGCTTCTTGTTGATTATCCCATTATTCTGCTCTTCCTCCTTCTCTTCATGGTTAACCCTTTGACCCAAATCTACACCCCGCCTTCAAACCTCAACCTTTTCATAATGCAAACCTTCTCCATCCAAACCTTTTTCAACTTGCCTTTCAACCAGTCCTCCAATGAACTCATCACCGCAAGAGATTTCCTTTCCCATCATACTATCATATAGCCTATTTGCACTCATTATATGAAAAGTTCCTCTCCAATCCTGATTTAGCCAAGTAATCAGCCTTATGGTTCAGTTTTCTTGGTAACCATCTGAAATAGCAACTAAGATGAGCATTCAACTCTCTGACATTTCTAGAAGGAAGTGACTCCAAGGCCCAGTCTTAGGCTTACTTGCCCAGCTGATCACATTCCTGGAGTCACCCTCAACCAGCAAGGGAGCAGCTTGTATAGCTTTAGCAGTTCTGAGGACTACAACAAGGGCCCTCACTTCTGCTTCAGAGGTATCCTTTTCCGTAACAGGCCCACTAAAGGTCCAAGCCGGATTGCCATTTGAATTCAGGATTATCCCTCCAATTCCTGCTTGAACATCACTTCTGGATTAAGCTACCATTGAACAGCAGAATAAAAGCTATGGGAGGTTGGGAGAAGAGTGTAGCTGGTCTGAGGGGCAAAAGGAGAAGATTTCAAAATTTGTGTCAAGATCACCATAGCTGATACCCATAAAACATCTATTAGTCAACATCCAGAAAAATGCTAGAGCAAGAATACCTTCTGAGTGCCTCTTCACTTCTGCTTCTATTTTGAAATACCCTTCCAGTTTGCTCCTCCCAAATATCCACATCACTGCATGAATAATTTCTCCCAAATACCCTTCCATTTTTCCCCATTTTATATAACCCTTCCACTGGTGAATGAAATCACAAGTTTATTTGGAGGAGCCCAATGGTATCTGCCTTCCCAACAGAGATCAAGAAAGAATTGCCAGATTCCACAAGTCCCTTGATTTTCCTTTTCTTCCTCCTCTATCACTTCAAACTTATCAACACATCTCTACTGTTTTTTTGGAAAAATAACAGAATCAACATGTCTCCTCATAACCAATAAGACCACAAAAATAATAGAGAAGTGGTAGTCTTTCCTACTCAAAATCAAGTAATCAACTGAATTTGGATTTGCCATTCTCTTTCTGGTTAACAATCACTCCTATACTTAATGTCTTCCTAAGATTCACCATCACTTCATACTAACATACACAGATCACATTGCGGAGGATTGCAATGCTCATTGTCTAACACTATGCCTGTCTAGCTGCAATTTTCTTGCCTTGCCTATTTTATAACATAAATTCAACTGATGGAACCAGATCCAAAATGAAGATACATCAAAGTTCATCTTTGGTAATGCAGTGTCCAGAGGCGACCTCTTTAAAACCAGAATAAAACTAACCAGTCACAGCCCATGGTGTTTAGGCCATAAGACTATCCAAATCACTATTTCAAAGCAAAATAGGTACAAACAATGCAGTTGTTTACTGATTTCTAATTGCCATTTAAAATCCCATATTTACAATATTACACTTCAGACTGCTGCAGGATGTATGTGCCTCTCACCATGAATCCCTCCTATTGGACTTCTGCTCCATTTACCCGTATCTCCTTTTTCCTGAAGTACTGCATCTCCTTCTTTGACTTCAATTGCTACCTCCACCCCCCATTTTATTCAACTCAGCAATAAATTCAACTCCTTTGGCACAAAATGCATCTAAAACACAAAAGAAAGGAAAGGTCCGATACAGTAATAGCCCTAGGAAGCTAACGGCATTTTTTTGTTAATACCCAAAGCTATATACCTATATAATTTCATCTACTAAGCTTCTTACATTGGTTTTCGAGTTCAACCACAAGCTTCAATGAATAACAGAAAAGAAATTAAAGGTTGTCATAATTCTATAATTTCTATCCCAAAAAAAAAAAAAGTCATAAATTCGCTTCTAATAAACTCTAGGGCTTGACAAGCGTTAGAACGCGTGGTTGAATCTTAGAGCAGCAACTTTAGGTCCCAGGTTGCTGGCACCAAAAAAATTGGGTATTGACCCCTTTACATTATCATATTATTTATATATTATATACCAAAAAACCACTTTTTATTAGTTGCATTTTAGCCCAAAAAAAAAGAATGACATCTCCCAATTCTCGCCATTTCAAATCCATCCCTTACAGTGCAAAGAATGTAATATCCAGCAATTAAAATCTCATAAACTCTAATATATCGTAATTATTCTAGCTTGGTTTAGATAAGAATCGAATAATCATCCAGAAACAAAACAATAAATAGAGACAGATTGGATTTCATAATTCCGCTTTTCAGTTCAGTGCAAAGGAGAGAGGGGGTGGAAACTCACAGCTTATCAGCTTTGATCATCAACTTCTCGGGATCGGATCCCCCCATAGCCGAGTTCTTCCTACACCCTTTTTGAACCTTCTTCCTAGCGATCGTGCTTAATACAGACGTCTCTGCACATTGGACCGTGTTAGTTTTCTATTGCTAGCAGGTGTTAGGCACCTGCTAGGGGGCACCGTTGGGCCTGGGCGTGAACCCAAAGGGGACACCGTTCAAACTAAGTCTTTTCTTACCAACGAATTGCTTACCGTGCTGCTGAACCAACAAATTTTCGGCTTGTCACCGAAAGACTCCAAACCTTGAAAATTCCACTTTCTTCTTAACATGAATGTTTTGTATTCATTTGATCTCGGTAATTGTCGCATCAGCAAAAAAACAAAAACATCTTCTTGAATTATGAATAATACATGTTTTGAATTAAAATAAAAACAATTTTAATTATATGATTTTATGGAATATGATGTTGCTGTTTCAGTTTTTAAAACAAAAAATACATATTCAACTAAGAACATGTTTCTTGTGTTTTTGTTTTAAGAAATAAAATGTTTTCAAATAAGATAGTTTTCATTTGTTTTTGGAACCAGCAACAACAAAAACAATTCACATTATAGCACCCCCTTAAGATTAAATTAGGTTGAGCCCTATGTTAATGCATATTAATACCCTGGTATTCGGATTTCAAAACATTCCAATTGAGTACCTGAACTCCCAAAACATCTCAATTTAGTTCATGTTATTACTAGTCCATCAATTATCTATATCACATGATGACATGTGTGACTTAAAACTTTTAAAAATGTCAAAATTACCTTTTGAAATAAGGCATTGACCATCATTTCTTCTTCCTCAAGAATCAAGATTGAATCAAAGCAATGGTGAACAACCCCAAATCCACCACCAACCCAAAGAGATTTAGGCATTTGGATGGTTGATAAAGAAAATTAAATGATACCCGAAGATCATTTGTATCCTTTTACATGCCAATTAATGACAATTAACAATTTTGGACTAAATTGGAAGTTTTGGGAGTTCAAGTACTGAATTGGCACATTTTAAAATTCAGGTACCAAAGTAACACTAGGCCCTAGTTACATGATATTAATCTGCAACTTACCCCTTAAAAAATGATCATAGCATAGCAGGCTGGGTTCAGGTTGGGTTAGGATCAAGCTAGGATTGTTTTAGGCTTGGGTTATTGAATGACTAGACCCCAAGCCCAACCTAAAAATTGAAAATCCAAGTCCATCTCTTATTGGGTTAGTCCAGGTTGGGCCCACCCAAGTTACACCCCTTGAAATACATGGTTCTAGAACCACTAAGGTTGGTTTTGGTTCATGGTTAAAAATGAACTTTTCTAAACATGCCATTTTAGTGTTCTAACCTATAAAATTTAGCTCCTTCTTAAACAAACACTCGGCATGATTGGAGATGGCTTCTAGGTTCAAGGAAGTTCCTTTTCAACTCTATTTGCGATTTTTTGTTTAGCATGGATGTTCTATTAGTTGTGCTTTGTTATTTTGATTTCAAATACCTATCTACAACTGTTTTTCTTCTTTGTTTTTGCCTTTTGTTCATGTTTCTAACCATGTTCTGACTTCTCTTTGAAAGTAGTTCTCAAATTTTGGTGCAACTAGTGGTAGTTGATATCAAATCCTATGGGTATCAAAGGCAATAGGAAAAAAAGAGAAGGGAGATTTTGAAGACTGTTTACTCTACAACTAGTTACAAAGAGAGCAAAAGTGACAACTCTATGAAAATTTCAGGTACCATTGTGATTTGGATAAGAAAATTACTGGCTCTTCTAGGAATCGTCCAAAGCTAGGCTAATAGAGCAAAGATCAGCTTGTTGAAATCATTAACAAGATAATATGTGTAAATACATGTAGATCACCATCTCACAATAGCACAAAGTTAACCACCACAGGACCTGCGATGAAGACTATGTCCATCGCCAAAGGCAATACAAACCACACTGTTAGCAATTGAAATCATAGGACGTCGTAATTCCCCAAGCCACATAATCTATGATGACACTTATGATGAATATGCTAATCTCCCTACCAGTAAAGATGCCACTCACCAAAAGAGGTAACTGCAAGGATATACACTACAATGACAGTGATAAACATCACAACGCGACCAACGATAGATGTGCTATTGCATTCACCAAATCCCTCAATTCAACCTAACATCCCAGGGTGCCACTAAGAAAATAACGATACTAGTCTATTTGTGATGTCAAATACTAACTCCTAAGCGCTTGTACAAGAAGATCACCGCTCTGCATGACTATGAGTAAGCTCTCAAAAGAGTGTATAAGCATTCCCACATGAGAACTCTAAAGATAGGAAATCTTGATCCTGAGAGATTCCCACAAACATGTGGTGAGACCCAAGTTTCTTACCCATTATGTGTCCAGTGAATTATAACCACCTTTCAAAGATAGGAAAGTTTCCTCCTGTCATTTTTCTATTCCCTATTATAGTCATAGCCCTCCCTCTATAAATAAGGGGAATCCTGGAGTCATCCATATGAGATCATGTCGAGAGCACTAAGAGAGTCCTAGCATCTTAGCCTTTTACTCCCCCAGAACTGCCCCTCAGTCTTAGCCAGCAGCCTTACTTCCTTTATCTCTTTGGTCATCCACCGTCCTTTGGGGAAACCCCCTTTGTAGCCTTATCTCACAACTTATGATATGAAAATGGGACTTAAAGGTTTACTTCCCTTAATTAAAAAAAAAAAGCTTACAAAATGGAAAAATAATTTATGTGCAGTAACGAAAACATTAATTAATTCTCTAACTGATGAAGGATCTCCATTGGATCCTCTTGGCTCGATAGAAGGAAAGTCTAATAGTCCTTTCGTTAACCCTTCGATACACGGTGATTCTTCTGATTCTGAACTTTCATTAACCGGATGGGAGGAAAAAACAAGTACCTCCTAGACGGGATGCTCTAAGAACAATGATCAAACAACTAAACCTAGTGTGAATAATGAGAACTTCGGTGCTTCCGGTTCATACAAACCATTTTGTGCATTTGTTTACTGGACTGCCTGTGGCAAGAATCTTAAACATTCTTGTTCGAGAGCATGACTCTACTCATTAAGGGGGTGTTATGTAACGTGAATGAGAAATTTGTGGGTGTGGACTAGTCCACACCATACCTTGTAGCAGGGACTAAGGGTGTATTCTGTAGTGTGGATGAAAAATTGGTGGTGGGTGTGGACTAGTCCACACCACACCACTATGGCAGGGACAAATGCACATCACACCAACAACCCATAGCTGTTTTGAACTATGGATAAAGTGTGTGGACTGGTCCAATCCACATCCACAATGACATTTTGTAGGTGTTGTGTGGACCATATTTTTTGATTCCATGTATCTCATATATAGTTTATGAAATAATCTACACAACTGATTACAAATGTATAACTTTTCCAATTTATATGATAAATAAATTAAAAACAAGGCATTGATAATTGAGTGTTAACCAATAAATATTAATTTAACAAAAATGATAAAAAAAATAATTTAAAAATTAAAATTATTATTTTGTTGATAAAAATATTAAAAATAATGTTTAAGGAAACAAAATAAAAAATTATTGCAAGACGAAGGAGAATCATCTTCTTCCCCTTGTAGTGGAGCACAATAGCGAAAGAGAGCTTTGGGTGGTGGAAAAGAGCTTCAATGGTAATATTGTAGGGTCCTAACTAGTATTGTAGGGTAAAGATCAATGTATCTTATCAATATTATATTCTCAAAACATTGGGGACCAAAATCAACTACGAGAAATATGCGTAAAAGAGATATTGAGTTGTTGACAGGGCCGGTCCACAATATATTGTGGACCAGTCTCATCCATAGAACATAGAACGTTATGGTCATCTTGTGGCGTAGACTGAAACAGACCACCCATGAGATGACCACATTTCCGAACACCACACCATTTGTCCTTAGTTGTTTTGAACTATGGACAAAATTGTGTGGACAAAAAACTATCCACACCTACAAGGGTGTATTGCAATTTGTGAGATACACGGTGGATTATGAATGAAAAAGAACAAATTTTAATCTAAAAATAATATGGACTAATAATATAATAATAATAATGGATAAAATAAAACACCAATACATAATTACTAATAAATATAAAATACATATATTTTTCATTTATGTCAATTATTAGAAGATAAAATGTGTATAATATGAATTTATGTAATAGTACAAAACCATTTTGATGAACAAAAAATTATTAAAAATGGTTCAATTTTTAGAAAAGTCATTATAATATTATCTTTGGCAATAAACAACTTAAAAATGAATTTAACTATAAATGAAATTATGTTAAAAGATTAAAAACCGAGGGTGGTTAGATTGATGTAGCATAGTGTGTTACACCGAATCCTTCCCACCAACTGTCCATACCATGGTGTGGCCCATCCACAATTATTGCCGATAAATTGAAGTGTGACCCATCCCTGTCCACATTATTTTGTAGACGGGGATGGTCCAAACGAAACCGAATGCCCCATTCTATATTCATGGTATTGAACACCCCCTAAGTTTCAAGGATTTACGTAAAAAAATTAATTCAAAATCTTCAACAAGCTTAAGTTCCATACCCGAGTACTGATTCAAAGTTACACAAATCTCTTGACCTTTCTAGTGAAGGCAGTGACTAGCCTAGAGCTACTATGGGTTAGAAGCCCATTAAATGCAATTGGTAATAATAATTGAATGGTTTGGCATCCTATAATGCCTCGGTGACCCTTTCTTTCATTTCTGAGGGTATACGTTCTTGCGAACCTATAGATGGTTGTGCCCAATATATCCACATGCATGGTAACTTATTGGGTGGTTCCAAGATTATTTACCCTCGGCATGTGCTGGTCAAAAATGTGAGAATTGTTGGATCTTAATCTCATTAGAAATTAAATCTAATGGGGTTTGATTAATTAATTACATGAAAATACATCTGCACATATATCTTGAAAATAGTTTTTAAATCTCACACTAAAACCAGTTTTGAAATTGTTTTTCTTCTTTAAAGCCTTGTCCCACATTGGAAAATTACTAAAACATGTTTTTGAGTTTTCAAGTGGGAGCTTGTTTACACTCCTTAGAATTATAAGAGGAGAGTATGCAGGCTTGCTACCATGTACACGGATGTGCGTAGAACTAAGGTGATTTAGAGGCGCACTTTGCTCGCACTTCACGCGCACCCGTGTGGTTTGCGTAAGGCAGCATTGATTTTTTGGTGCGATGTTGAATCATGGCCATTGACGTTTTAATAAAATCCAATGGTCACTCTACAAATGCAAATTTGTAGAGTGCAAAACATTGTAT